GGGACTTTTGGACATATATGGTGGGAATGTAGTAAGGTGAAAAATCTGTGGTATATGGCCTTTGAATCATTGGAGTATATTACAGAAATAAAAATCCCCAGAGGTCACCATAATGGTCTATTCCACTTAAATTTACAATCACTCCTTTTTAAAGATAAATTTATATATGTCCACTTTGTAGCAGCAATAAAAATAATAATTGCTAGGAACTGGAAGAGTAGTGCAAATTTTACACAGGCCCAATTATATTCACAAGTTCAATATCAATTAACCATGGAGGCCTTGGGACATCAGTCAGTAAAAATCAGAGATGTTAGTAATTTCTGGAAGGAAAAAATGGAGAGTATGGTCATATGAAATCCTGGACAAAATAAATAGAATAGTTTTCTTTTTTCTTATTTTATTACATTTTTTTTCTTTTTACTATTTTAAGGTAATGGAATAAAGGTCCCACTGATATACCCCAAGTAAAGTCTGCAATGCATAATATTGTTTGTTCTTGTATATTTGTTATGTCTATCACATTAATGAAGTTATATAAAGTCATCTACTTAATATAAGATGATATAGTAATAAAAAGAGAATTAGGTTGACTTATACGGTAAATATAATGCATTTTAATTTTAGAGGGAATGCTGGATTAAAATTCTGTCATGTCGGTTGATTCTGTTAGTATGGTATTTGGATTAGTTTTAAGTAATAATATTTTTGAGTAAAGATAAGGGGAATAAGCACTAATATAGAAAATGGCAATGTGTACTTTATATGTTTATATGTAATACCATATGTTTCATTCAACTGGAGGTAAATGTTTACACTCTTCTTTTTTATATCATTATTGATGATGGCAATGTCTTGTACGTCTTTATAAGAAAAATGAAATAAACAAATTTAAAAAAATAAAAATAAAAATAATATCAGGAAATATTACTTTACTGAGAGGGTAGTGGATGCATGGAATAGCCTTCCAGCTGAAGTGGTAGAGGTTAACACAGTAAAGGAGTTTAAGCATGCATGGGATAGGCATAAGGCCATCCTAACTATACGATAAGACTAGGGACTAATGAAAGTATTTAGAAAATTGAGCAGACTAGATGGGCCGAATGGTTCTTATCTGCCGTCACATTCTATGTTTCTATGTTTCTACACGATAGCATTAATACATCAAAGCAGCAGAGTAACAGCCTGCAAACCAAGCATTCCAGGCCTCTCATATCTGGAATGTGGTGGTTGTTGGGTTGCATTTCATTACTATGAAACTGTGATATGTTAATGGCATAATGTAATTGCTTTTGCACAGTACAACATTCAAACAAAATGCAAGTGCCCAACACGTGCTACATATATGTCTGGTGGTTTGTGGGGCGCGCTGGCCTTGGTATTTTCCCAAGATCTGCACCTGCCCTGCTACCAAGAGAATTTACACTTCCATGTTTTCAGTGTTTCAAACAGTCAACATTGGCTAGATAACAGACACTGGTAATATACTATAGATTTAAAATATTAATTCTGTCAAGGATAAGTGTCAGGAGTAAACACTGTGTTGTGTCTAACTGCTTCTAAGCAGTTTGACAAAAATGCCCAGAGACTATTGAGAACACAATTAATGCCCTGAGCTATAGCAGTTATATTGTCTGGAATCTCTCTATTTTAATTCTTCAAAATGTGCGTCAGCAGTGAGCATATAATGTAATACATTGGTTGACTGTTAACTGTTTCGGCTAGGTATTAATGACAACATTATATCACCTTTTTATTTGCTTGTATACCCTATTCTAAAAACATATATCCGTATACCAGCTGACAGTATGTCGGTATGTAAATTGAAATAATATTTACTATAAACACACACAACGGCTGACATGTCTGTGGGAGATTATACAGTAGGAGTGCTAAATAACATTAGGTAATTACATCTAATTAGCATTTGGCAGCAATAAAGAAAAATGTAAATTTCCATATTATCATATGAAAGAAATGCAATATAAATGTTCATTTTTTTAATGATACTACAATTCATCAATACTTGGCACAATTGTCAATTATTGCTGGGTTATTTAAAAGAAAAGCCTGTGGCATATTTTGACAACTAGTTCAACATAAATGATCTGTAATAGATACAATTTGATAGTGTTCATGATAAAATTTGCAAATAAAATGAACATTTTATCAGAAATTTAATAGAACTTTGCTTTATAGGTGCAGAATGCACTTGATTGAATCTGAATATAAAGTAATCTAATGGTGTTATATCATCTTTCTCTAATACGATCACTGACTTTGGAATTAGGTGTGAAAAAACTTAAATATGCTTCCCAAGTTCGTTAAAAGGAATTGAATGGTCATCCAGCAGACCCACATGTGCAAATAATACATTAAAGATAAACTATGAAAAGAAGATAAATTACTTAAAAGTTGCTGACAGTGTTTTACTGTGTCTACATGGCAAAATGAAGTAAAATAAATTAGAGCAGCTGTCGATCCAATCCTCTGAGTATGAAAGTTCGCCTCTTGGTTGTTAAAGAAGGTACCAAGGTCCAGTTTGACAAAATTAAAAAAAGAAAATACTACAGGAGCTACATTATTGATCTATTTATAAAATTCAAAGAAAAGAAAATAGTTGGCACAGGTGATCAAATAGTTTAATACAGTATCTTATTTTATTTGCGTAGCCCTTGTGATTAATAAATATTTTCGGACCAAAACTCCTTCCTGAATGCAAATGCCCAGTAAGGATCGAGACAATCCCTCAAGAATATCTTAACATTTTTGTGCTGTACCTTGACAGCATGATATGTTTTACCTTGCAAAATATATTTCATTTTTAGTGTGGATCTGAAAACAGCATTTGAAGATTAAAACATTAAAATTAATTAATCAAGTCTTCTCTTATCCTACAATTGATACACAGATTCTGATACTTTCTGTGGCTGTCCAATCACATATTTTGTAATCAATCCATGATTAGTCTTTGCCTGCCACTTCAAAAGGCTAAACTATGAAAACGTGACAGATCTAGTTGCCATACTGGTAACCAGAGGGTTTTAAAAGGTTAATTCACAAAAGTGCCAATTTTCAATTTAAATCTGAACTTTTTTTGTAAAATGAAAAAGGAAGGGGACACTCTTCACATATAAATACTTTAGTAAGCAAACTGGTATAGTTTAGAGGTCTAGAGTACCCCTTTAATTTCATGCAAATGGTTTGACTACATTTAACATATAATTATACCTAAGTAGCAAGAAATATTATGTAAGTTGTTATCTAAGCTAAACAGGTTTAACTACACAAACATTTGCTCTCACCATGCTTTATGATGTAGATTTTTACTACAGAATTTTTTGTAAGAACTATTATTATTGTATTTTAAACTATTTGATTTGTATATATCAGCACATATTTCTTTGGCACTAAATGGTTTTCTTTACATGTTAGATTTGAGAAAATGGGAGTAGCGCAAGAACAATACTATTATGGGGGTCACAGCATTTGAAGAAACATTAAACAAGACAGTCTTATGTTTGTCTTAATAACTTTTTGGGACCTTACATTTGTTAGTGGAAGGTGTAGTCTGGTTGATTATGGTATTGGAGTAGTGGCTTTGCCCTAGATACTTTGTGATTATCTTTTCATGTTTTTAAAAGAAGGTGTCTGAGCTTATCCTTTCCTCTTGCCTCTCCACTTGTTCAATTGATCCATTACCTCTCAGGTTATCAGATCTCTCTCCCCTTGCCTTATGCCATCCTTAATAGATATCTTCAAATGATCTCTTTCTTCTGGCATAGACTCTGCTCAACATAAATGTGCTACTGTCAAACTCCTCCTAAAAATTAATTTTTTTCCCCCATCTTCTCCATCTGACATTTGTTCCATATATGCGCTCCCTTAATAATAGTGTAAAGTGCTGCAGAAAAAGTTGTAACTATATAAATGTCAATAGTAATAGGAAAATAATAATACTATTGTATAATAACTTCTGACTATTGCCTTCATTTAATATTTTTGGATAAGCTTTTTAGATAGTTCAAAACTTTCTAAATGGTTCTACATAAGTCACTTTTAAAGTCTATGGAACGTTTTGTAGATAAATAATTTGGAAAGTTTTTTTTTTTTAACAGCTTTAAATAATTTGAAAAAAGTTCCCCCGACCTCCACCCCCTCCACCCCCCCCAAAAAAAAATACAAATTAAAACCTAGCAGTAAAGTGAAAATTCAGGGTGAATTCAAAGTGAAATTCAAATTTAAGTTCAAAATATCTAAACTGGAAAAATGCAGCTAAAAGTCAGCTATGCTTTCAGTTTGGCTACTCATGCCTTAAATTTGAAATTCACTTTGAATTCACTTTGAATTCTCACTAGCCCTGCAGGTGTCACTGTGCTGGGTGTCCTTCAGGCTTCTCAAAGCATTTGTGGTCCTGTACCCAAGAGGTCTTTCTCTTTTCATAAAATGACAAAGAAAGAGGTGACATCCACATCATAGGGAGTTGTTTTTAGTAAAACCTTATTGTGACTGCTCATAATGTGGACAAACTGAATGGAGATGGTACAGGCAACAGAGACTATAAGGGCATGCTAGCAACAAGTGTCAGATTCTAATAATCTGGGGCAAAATAGGCAAATTGAAAGGTGTATGAATAATTCATGTATGTGAAACAATTCCTCAACAATGGCATGGAATTACATACTTTGAAATCCGTATTGCTTTTAGTATATATACACATTATAAGACCATTTATATGCAAAATATTTAATTTAAACAAAAAACTAAAAAAATTTTGTGTTCTCATGTGAAATAGATCACTTTCTTAAAACTATATTTTATTGCATTTTTGATAACACTATTAAAATTCAAATGGTGCTGCATTCTTAAAAGTTGGTTTATTTTATTGCATTTTAAAAAATAACAGTATCAAAATTCAAATTATTTGCTTTAACAAAAAACAAATAGAAAAAAAGCCGGAATAATCTATCTTGTATGAGAACATTTGTGAGGGTAGTCAGCAAGTCTTGAATTATGTATGTAGTGAATAATACCTCTTGGATCAACAGTGTATATCTATAGGATTTTGTTAATCAATGCACATTGAACATCGGCATACAAGTATAAGACATTATTTAGTATTTTGTCAGCTGGATACAAATGACAGAATAATGTTATTACAAAAGACAGATGTGTTATTCTGAGTCTATAATCAGACACATTGTTTTTATGCTCTGTTTTTGTACTTTGGCCTTTTGATGCTGTGAGAGGTCTGCAATTGAATGTATGTTTTAGAAAACATCGATTTGCCTGTCTGGTTACAGAGGATGGCTGCACTCTTTTCATATCCACTTCCTATTTTAAATAATGTGTTCAAAGTACAGCAAAGTCAGAGTATAATTTTACAGAGCTGTGGACTGAGAAGGAAATTTTTTTTCTAACTCTTCAACAACACAACCCAAGTTTCCATTATGTTTTTCATGCTCAGGTAGCGCTTCCACTATTGAAACATCTGCTACAGCAATAGATTTTGCTTTTGTAGTTTGCTTTGATAAAACATTGCCTTTGTCTATTTGACTATACATGTTTGCAACAGATTTTTCAATATCTGCTAAGTTATGTATATTTTTAAGAATTCCTTTCAGCTCACGACGTGGTCCATGTTCATGGCGAGGGGCTTCTGGTGGTAGCAATGTTAAAGGGGAGAGTTTGTCCCTTACATTTGACAAAGTGGTGGCAGTTAAGGAAGTTATAGAGTGCTGGGAATTACTGGTTAAAAGCTGTTGGGGAAGAGGTGGAGCGGGAAGAGGTGGTGGAGCTGGAAGGGATGGTATGTTTGGTTGCACTAGGAGAGGAGGTGGAAGGGATGGAGCCTGCAGTGGTGGAGGTGGCGGTGTAGTGTGAGAAGCCTGATCATGTATTACAGTCGTAATATGAGTTGGGGTGGAGCATAGAGGTGGTATGGAAGAGGGGTTTGCCACAGGTGAAGTAGAAGGTGGAAGAGGAGGAGGAATCGATGGTGGGTCAGGAATCTGTTCTATTCTGTGTATATTTTCAGTAGTTAAAAACATGTTACCAGGTGCCACATTTTTCTTAATTAAAGGTGGAGTTGGTTTCCGAGTTGGAGGTGGAGAGATTTCTTCAGTGTACTCAGAAGGTGTAATTACGATTGTGGGAAAGATAGAAGCTTCAAACCTATGATCACCAGAAATGTCTTGTGATGATGAGAATGGGGAATTCTGGGATGAAAAATCAGCAAGAGGTTTAGAATGTTTCTCAATGCAATCTTGGTTATAACTGATTTCTGATGTGAAGTGTAAATCTTTAGTCTCATAAATCTTCCCTTGCTTGACTTCTTGGAGAACATTTTGTTCAAATTGCCTTGCCTGCTCTTTAACTGTTAATTTGCCATTAGTAGACTTCTCCAATAAAGGTCTAGGACTTTCAGTACCTTTCAAAGTTTCAGCAGTTTCACATTCAGGTTGCACATATTTTTGCTGCCCTTGAATTGGATCCATTATAACCGGACTGTGAAGAACATCATAAAAGTGTCTTTTGGTCAGACATGCTGGAAGTGTCCAAGCCCGTTGTTTGCCTTCACAGTTAATTTGTAATAGTGCATCTTTCACCATTGATCTTTGAGAGGAAGATTTATCTAGCAAAAAGTCATGTTTCCATATTAGCCCTGGAGAGTCAGGACTTTGACACGCACCTTCCACATATAAAGGATTTTTGGTGGTGAGTGGGTTGGTGTCAGAGAGAAATGTTACATTACTTGAAGACTTTGGAAGGTTATTATTTAAGCATCCACTGACAGTAGATTGTTTGTGAGCTTCAATGGCGCGTGATGCAAGATTGCTTATAAGCCTTTGTCGATCACCATCTTGTAAAACAGATTTTTTTCCCCTGCTTTGTTGAAAATGGTAAAGAAGAAAGAGACTTGAAAGAAAGAAAATGACAAGTAAGGAAAAGGAGGATGAAAAGGAATGATATCTAGAACACAAAGTAAGGCCCAAGGGTAATATATTAAAACACATAAAGCAAGATGACCATATTGCTCCTTTTATAGAGCGATCTTTATGAAAGATGGTTCCTGTAAGGCAGTAATGATTTTTTATACAGTACATGTAATATACTGTAGTGTATTTTATATTTTAACATTGCCAATAAAAGGTAAAATATGGTCATTATGCTTAAACATCAAACTATGTCTTAAATTATTGTTAAGCATGAATGGCATTATAACCTGCATAATAGATGTCTAGTCTTTGACAATTTCATTTGCCTTCTTTTTTATGTAATACACATATATGAAAAATAAATCTAAAATGATATCTTAAGTAGAAAATGATCTAGTATGTACTATTTGTACTGAGGTCGTGTTCAATTCAATCTTATTTCTTTATATAAATATACTCAAGAGGATTCTTTGCACAGAACTATATAAACATGGAAACTAGGAAACGGCTGAACCATTTTATTCAAACTCATTCACCTAATATGTGGGACCTCTATTGTATTGTTCAGGATTTAAGTCATTGTATTTTGTGCAACAGCAAAAGAGTGTAAAATGAATGAGAAAGCAAATGACAATGAAAAGATAGCTACATTACTATGCAAGCCATATTGATGTAACCCATACCTTGTATAGAAATGTGTTCTAGCACAGAGAACCATGCTACAGTATTCTTATTTTTGTTTAATTCATCCTCATGTGTCCATGAGGGATGCACAACTGGTGCTTGTATGGTGCAGAGAACTCTGTAAATATTTCATTTTTTTTTTAAATGTTTTGTATTGATATGTGCAGGATTTTAACAATATAGAAAGTGCCAGCATATTATACCACACCATGGAATACACTAGTTTACTAAGACTTGCCCACATGGCACAAGGCTACTTGAGAGAGCTGACCAAGCTATAAGTCAACTCAATAACAAACTGTTGCTCCCTCACAGTAGAACTTCTTCACTTACAAAATAATATAAGTTAAGCTACATACTATGTCAACCTGTTTCATTCCAAGGACATTTTTGGAGATATTTTCTATATTGGTTTTTAGGCTGGGATGTGCCACGTGACTAAATGGAAATGTTCATTTGAGGAGTGTTGTGAAAAAGGTTTTTTTTTTTTTTGTTTTTTTTTTTTTTACTTTAACATTTATCATATCATCTTGTATTTCATAGTTAGAGCTCGTTTTAAAGCTAGCTTTAACCTCTAGATCTAAATGACTCGCATCCTCTCGCCTGCCTTAGAATAGTTATTCTGCTACACTGAACTAATGTAAGCTAAAGTCCTAACCTATCAGTATGAGAAAAATCAACCTGCCACATTAAACCATTTAATTACAAACACTTAAATAATTCTGTAATTATATTTTAATTGGTGGAGAAAGTATATAAGTTTCCCCTCTACTGCCTTTTATTGCTATAATATTTTAAAGTGCATAGGTGGAAGCCGGGATAATGTTTAGATGTGTGTATGGTGCATCCTATAAAATATAGCCTAGTAGCACCATAATAACCTGTACTATATCATACATTTGTTATGGTGCTTAGAATGTCCCTTTAATACTGGTAACTCTTATATCTCTCATGTATTGGTATATTAAAGACATTTGTTTCTCCTTCAGAATATGCAGGGGTCTTTAACGTGCACTTTTTATAGTCCTGATGCTTTACTTTAGCAAAGATGTGGTTAAATACTGACGCTACTATATTTAACTACTATGTAAATTTATTAAACACTTGCTGTGCTCTTTCAAAGATCTATGAACGTTTTAACAAGTTACCATTTAAGGGTATTTGTCTGGTTTCATAGATAGAACCTTCTTTTCTGTTTTTTAACTTACTGCATGATAGACAGCCGGAAATATTGCTCTTTTTCATTTTCCTTACTAAAACATATAGATAAGCACAACCAAGTCTAGCACATTCTCCAACAAAATATCCAGTTTTGGAAGCAGAATTATCAAACTCCTTTAATGTACTAAATTAAAGCAGCAAAAATGGTCAGATAACTGGATTAAGAAAATGACTATTTAAGAGAGTTGGTAGTGATGTTATTTCACCTTTTTGCATTACAGGTGGCACAAAGAATGTATTTAATCACTTATTTGAGCCTAAAATCTATTGTTTTCTAAATAATGGTATAATTGCTTTTAAGATTGGAAAAATTATTTAAAGAAAATAACTCACTGATTTGTCTTCTTGTTTTCATTTTAATTCTTCATCATCTATCTTAAATTATTAAAATTAAAAAAATCAATAAACCATTAAAATGTTTAGTAATGTTTTTGAACTGCATGTGTACTATGTATACAACATAGCACCCTTATCAGTCTCTTAGTTATTTTGCTTAAAATAAATGATAAATAATGTTTAAAGAAACAGTTTGACATGTTTGAAGTGCATCTGGTGAAAACTGAGCATGTTAAATAATTTTTAGACACCAACATGTGCTTACATACTTCAAAAGCCCTAAGGGAAATTATTCTCAGAATTACTTGTGAAAGTTTCTAGCCTCAAATTGTTGTTAAGTGGTTTAAAATGATGTGCTATACCAGATTTAATCATTTATATAACAATTCCTAGTAATGTGTTTGGGATATAATGCAGTCTAAATCATATTTAAATGATTATGAACATTTTATGAATATGGACTAATTATAAATACATAGCCCACCTGCAATTCCACTGTGTTTAGTTTTAACAGCACACATTTCCAGTAATTGACCCCAGTTTACTTAATCTTCGCCTATGAGATCTTTAATTCTAACATAATGTTATAGAAATAGCATTGCTTTAAATGCCATTGTTTATCATTGTCTTCTTCTTTGTTTTTTACACTGCAGTATGCTCTACAAATGCATCTCTCTCTCTCTCTCTCTATATATATATATATATATATATTATTTTTTTTTAAATTACATTTATTTATTACAATTATTTATAAAATTGCTGACTTTAAAGGAAATCAGCACTTGTATAACTGGCGTCCGAAACACCTCCCTGGCTTACCTCACATAGCCAGGTAGATTATCTTCTATTTCTATTAGCTCCACAGAGCTAACATAATTGGCAATTTTGCTGGGCTTTAGCATGTATGCCTTTCTACCTTCATGTAGAGGAGCATTGGAAAGCTGCAAATGTGTGCATGTGATTGGCGTATTCCTCAAGGGAGGCCTTACGAAAGCTGCAGACATTAGGTCTGCAGTTTTTGCAAGCTATTTTTTCATATATCCCCCCCAAA